CTGAAGCTGCTCGACCGCCGAAGACGGGACGGACTTTTGCTTGCAGACGTACTAAGTAGGCATGAAGATATCGAGTTTGTCAGCATCGCTCTCGATACGAGATGAACCGCAGCTTCACCCCACCGAGACAACACGCACCATTGGACAGGCCAGGCCACGATCCATGTGGAGTCTATCAACTCGCCTGTTACGACGTATACTAGACTAGGTATATCTATCTACAACCATCGGCGGGAGTACGAGCACAGGACTGACTCATGCCCGGGATATTAATATAAATAGCGTGCTACCTACCCTGCCCCTCGCTCCGGAAGTTGGTCGTAGCACAGCTCCATCTCCCGCGCTTGCACAGAGAGTCCAGCTACTAGTGAATTACCTAGAGTTACAGTTCAACCAGCGCCTCGTCATGGACAACCAGAACCAGAACCAGAACCAGCTCAAGCTCAAGCTCATCGGAGCTTATACCCGCTACTCCAGTATGCTTTTCTTTTCTTGATGGTTATTATTTTGCAAATATGGAAAGAAGATCAAATAAACTAGTTCGGATAACTAGCCAGCTAGTTATTCAGTTTAACTAAACTAGTTACTTACTTGGCTAACTTTGCGGCTTAGGCTGGACTGCTCGTGTAGCTGTTCTGCTGGACTACTACCGCATCCCCCACGAGGCAGTACTGCTTTCTCTGCCAGAGGTACCCTCCCTCTCTACCTGCCTGCCTACCAAGGGCCCATATACATCCACATGTTATGGCTCCAGTTACAGAGGTATCCCCCGTCTCACTCGTTACTCTAGTCCACCAAACTATCGAAATCCAAACTGGTGCCGGCTCTAGAAGTCCCCTCTCTCGGCCCCCAGTTCCAAATAAACGACTCCCTCGCCATATGCGAATACCTCGCTGAGGCGTTCCCTCATCTGCCCCTCTGGCCCAGGGACGCTGCGTTGCGCGCCCAGGCTCGCACCGCAGTTGCACAGATGCACTCTGGCCTCTGCACCGTGCTACGTGCTTCATACCCCACCAATTCCCTGGCAAAGTACACCGGTGCCATACCTCTGTATGACGGGGCGGCCAGAGAGGTGGAGAATTGTCTGAAGCTCTGGGGTGAGAGCAGACGATTCACGACTGCCAGGCTTGCCGAGCTCGGGCAGGAAGGTAAAGATGAGGGCTTCTTGTTCGGAGAGTTCAGCATTGCAGATGCCTTCTTCTGGCCTGTCTTGTGGGTGAGTTTATTCATCTTTCATCTCTCTTGTTTTTAGTTTTAATATTTGCTGCTTTGGTGAGGCTGGCTGACTGCTTTTTGTGGTAGCGTTTCCGAACTTATAATCTGCCTCTCACCGGTGCTACGCCGGAAGCTCTTGAGTGGATGAAGCGTATGTGGTCCCATCCGAAGATCAAGGAGATCGTTCATGGGTATTATCTCCAGAAGGAACGCCCCGAGACTACCATCCAGCACTATGATGATATCTTCAAGGGTAACCCTGATATCCAGTTTGGCTGGTTCCCCGAGAACTGGGAGTTTTCTGCATAGCCATTCACTCATCCTTTGGAAGACCAGCTAGAAGAAACCATTGGGCTGTAGATGGCACTTGGTTTACATAGATATGCATTTACGGCCAAGCTTCTGTTGGGAAACTGAAGTTGATATATCAAACGTATAGTCAACGACAAGAACGGGTGGTTCAGCCAAAAGAGCTATATTGTGGAAGGAGCATGCTAGCTCATAGTAGCAATACAATTTTTTGACAGATATTCAACCGAAAGAGTCCAACTCAAGTGAGTGAGTGAGAGGAGATTGTTGCAGCAGCAATCCAACTTTTAGCGGGTGAGCTGAAGTTTTCAAGCGGCCGCTTATTCCAGCCCATCAAACACTTTTATAGCGTCTCTCGCCGTATCCCTTGCACTAGCAGGGTTCGCTCCAGTAATAATCCGGCCGTCGATTTTCTCAAAGTTCTCAAACGCAGTAGGCGGAGCTTCGTAGCGAGCACCCGATGGCTTCAAACAGTCCTCAATCGTATGCACGTTGTCTTGCCTCATCTGGTCAATCACCTTAAGTTCAAGCTCACCCTCGGTAGTGAAGCCAGTTACAGTCTTATCCTTCACCACCGGCTCGTCGTCGGGACCCCTGATGCCGCCCAGTATTGCTGGGCCATGGCACACGGCTGCCACAACACCGCCACGGTTGTAAATGTCCGAGGCAATTGCCTGCAGGTGTTTTGCGTTCGGGAAATCATAGCATGCTCCATGGCCACCGGCAGCATAGAATAAACCGTATTCATGCGGGGACAGGTCACCGGCCTTGAACATCTGGCTATTTAATTTCTTGTTGAATGGATCATTGCTGTTCCGCATCACCTCCTCATCCTCTCGATTTAGATACTTTTTCTCCAATGAATGTTCATCGAAGGCGTAGGTCCCTGTTTCTGAGGCAATGTCGACATGGAAGCCGGCTGCCTGAAGCTCGTCAAAGGGATGTAATGCTTCAGAGAAGAACAACCCCGTCTTCTTCCCGTCAGGGTAGAAGTGAGGGTTGGCGCTGGTAACAGCGATCAAAGCTTTCCGTGGCAAAGGCATATTGTATCGTTTCAGAATCCGGTTAAGTTGTTTGTATTGATCGTTTCGTTTTCCTGGGAATGGGCACAAGACACCATTTATCTCGAATGCCCTCCCCACGGAGACTAATGACGGAGCAGTGGCAATCACCAATCATTATGGGACGGATTGTTTGCTGTTATGCTCATGGTCTCGCTTGTTTACTCCCCATATGACGTAATAGGCGTTAGATCTAGATACGTCTGTATCAACATTCGACATTCCAGTCACCCTTCCAGTGGGTGCGTTGCTTGTGTGGAAAAGTGTATGTATAGTGATAGGTGTATACGATTGACTTTGTCAGGGTGTCTGTCAAGTTTAGTCTTCAGGTCCAGGCTCCGCCACCTTTACTTTCTCCGCCTGCTTATCCCAAAGGTGAGCAATATAGCCGGATGTGCTAGCTTCGTCAATGCTCTTATCCTCTCTCACTCTCAAGAATCTTGGGAATCGAAGACTCAGGCCACGCTCATCACTAACCAGTCCTATAGCCGCAGTGTACGTGGGACTCAGCGTGATATCTGCAAATGCCATCTCCCAGACCTCCTGCGGCTGAAACCAAACTTCTGGCTCGCCAGAGTACTCCACGTAGTTTGGGCGTGAGATTATATTATCTCCGCCTTCCGCGTACTTCTCCTTACTCGCTTCATAAAATTTATCCGAGAAGCCGGACATACACTTGGTAACAGCCTCGAGAGAGCCAGTTTCAGGATTTCGTACGGCAAGGAGTATTGGTGACCACCATTTAGCCTTTCGACCTTGGCCATGCCATGCCCCAATGGGAATCAAGTCTAAAGTCTCCGACGAAGCACTATAATCCTTCTTCACCTTGAGCCAGGATTCGAGTCGTTTGTCAGGCTCGTATGTTGATAGAAGTGGTCGTTTTCGGCCCCCTCGTTGCTTCGCAACAGTATCTGTAGACGCCTGGGGCTGATCCGTTTCCAAGGATAATATTTCGGCATTATCAGGGACTGTGGCAGCTCCTTCTGCCTGTATTAAGCTCTCAACTGGCTTATCATCTAGAACTTTCACCATTATGCCCTCGCATTTTGCTTGAAGGGCATCATTAAAAAAGTTTAGGGCAGCATCCGAATCGGATGGGAAAGCATCGATACTCTTTACCCATGTGAATCGATTCGGGATTTCAATAAACAAGCTCCTTAAAAACTCACGTCTTTCCCGAAACGGCCTTTCCAGCAGTGATTGTCCATTCAGGTACATCAAGTCAAATGAAAATAAACAGACATTGACTTTGATATCACCTATTTCCACATTTTTCTTCGCCCGATTAGTGAGTGTTTGGAAAGGAAGTAGCTCCCCAGTTTCGTTGTTAACAGCAACCACTTCACCTTCCAGGATAAAGCTAGAGACCGCCCCCGATCGAATCTGAGGAACAAGAGACACTAAATCTGGGTATTTGTCTGTCATGAGTTCTAGATGGCGAGAGAAAATGGAGACTTTCCCCAATGCGTCACAATGTACCTGTGCTCTTTGTCCATCATACTTGTACTCGCAGGTAAATGATCGGCCATGTAGCCTAGTTAACATTTGCGGAAGGTCCCTGGTAATGCTACCCAGCATAGGCAATAAAGGGATGTGCAACGTGATCCCGCACTTTGTAAGAAGTTCAGCAGAAACTCCATTTTCCAATAGGCACGGAACAATCATGTTGTAGTTGGGATGCCGTGCATAGCAAGTTTTGATAGTCTCTTCCGCCTGAGAGTAGATACTTGATAGCTCCTCTTTACTCAAGCTCGTAAACTCTGCGCGCGAACGTATGGAAAAAGTGGCTGTTGGTGGCTTTGAGTAAAGAAACGCTCTTGCAAGTGCAATCAAAATCGTCGTTTTAACAGCACCAATCCGGAGATGCTGAACAAGCGTACGGACGATGTATCGACTCTCCTCTGCACCTCGAGTATCCTGGAGTAACTTCTCAACAATTCTCTGCTTTGCCTCCTGGCTTCCGGTGCCTTTACTGTTTGCAATCTTCATTAAGGCGTCATATACGCTTCTGATAGTCAACGGTTTTGGTCGTCTTAGCGTGAATGACTGTTTTTTCTTTGCCTCAAAGGCCACATCACCAGCGTCGCCATGTTTATTGTATAGTGATTTGAGGCCTTGGTTATCCAATCCGTAAGCCTTTTTCAAAGCTTTGGATATGGCAGACCCTCCTAGACCCAATTCAATTGGTACATATGGTGGAGCAAATGCATTTGTTGCCAACCATACCGCAGGCAGTAGGCTCTGAGGGTCACCCACGATAATAAGCCTGAGAACATTCACAAGTATATCGACTATTTTGATCCTACTCTGTGTGCCATTGACAAGGGAAAAGGCGCGAGCCAAAATGGCATATGATGCTTTCCCGCCTTCCGCCTCCCAATGTGCTTGGAGGTTTTCCTTTTGCTCATGCGGATCGAATTCCAACGGACTGAGATCAAAAGGCAGCGAAAATGATATAGTATCTTCCGCCGCTGAGGAGCTCTGTAAAGCTAATATCCCCTTGGGCTTATTCTCTTTGCTGGATATAAGAGTTGGGGTATTAGGTATACCGGTATTGTCGGTGCTTGGGATAGAATCAGCTCCTCCATCAGGCACCCGGGGTTTTTCCTGCTGCAGGTTTTCCGTTGTTATATTACTAGGACTAGAATATTTAGACTCATCCTGGCCCTGTTGATTCCATTCCGTTTGAAGCTTCCGAGCCAGCTGCTCATCCGTAAGCTGAGCATGCTCAGTGCTAGGAATTTGCGGTGGAATTTTTTTTCCCGCAGCACCAAAATATGAAGCAATGCTCCGAGTATTCTGTGGTGGCACAGTCGAATCAACTTTTCTCTTCTTTTTCAGCGGACTGGTCATTATTATTGCTCTTGCATCCTGAATTTGGCTCTCCTGGGTGAATGGTATCAATACAGAGGCTGAAGTTGCGCTTGATTAAAAATAGTTAAGGTGTTGTTGATGCCAAGGCCGCGGGCCAACGACGTCAAGAGACCACAGTTTTGTTTCCTCCACATCTAAGCTCACTGACCGGTTTATTAACACCATAGTAGCTATCAATCAGCATACTACTTGGCTTTGGTGTGGGGGTATGCCCGTACAGAAACTATGGCGGGTAGCTTATCAGCGGAAGATGCGACAAGACTTGTTGACTTTGTGAATGATAAGATCCAGAGCATTGAAGACCTCCAGAGCCTGGATACGCTTCTTCAGAGCCTCCAGGAGCAGCAAGAAATCCAGAGGCAGCAGGTGATAGACCCTCTATATTGATTGAAAACCTTTCCTGACTAATGTTATGGCATTTTATAGCTACTGGAGGCTGAGGAGATCCTCAAAAATGCTACTAAAGCTTCAAATGAACATGCTGAGGCAGTTCGAAAGGAGGCGGAGGCATTCAAACAACACCAGACTGATATAGACCATCGTTTACTGGTTGTAACGCAGTCGGAACACAGTGATGAAGCTGTTCGCAAATTTGAAGATAGTATTGCTAGATTGCAGAGGCTTGATGTGTCCCAAGGCTATTTAGAACTACTAAGCAACATTGATCAACTGAAGTATGTATTCCTCATAGAATCACAATTTTAAGGCACAAAATTAACATATTTATAGTAACGATGCAATGAAGACCATGAAATCATCCCCACATGATGCCCTACGATCCTATGCGCAGCTTCGTTCGATCGAAACATCTATATCATCCAGCCAAGAGATTGTTGAAGGGGCTACTCCGTACCTCCTTGACTATGTGACGAAAGTCTCAGATATTTTAAAGGATTCCATTCGCGTGGAATATACGGAGGAACTGCAAAGTATCCTGGACAAAATGAAGTGGCCTATGAAGGAACTCCCTGCGGAGTCATTGATTGACGAATGGATGCGTTGGTGTGATATACTCCTAGAGTTTCAGGAACCGTGAGTACATACACACCAGCCCTTTAACCCGAGAATGTGCTGGAAATCTAATCGCCTTAGTGACCTTATGAGTGGCACAATTACAAAGAAATTTGAAGACCCGTCTGAGTTGCCAATTTTACTCCCATTAGAAGTCATGTCTAGGCCCCTGGAGCTTCGCTTCAAATATCACTTCAGTGGCGACAGGCCTACAAATAGGCTAGACAAGGTAAGCTCAAATTCCCGGAATGGACGACGGAGTTAATTTTTTACTAATCTTCCCTAAGCCGGAATACTTCATGTCCCATACATTAGATTTGATCAATACCCACGCTGAATTCTTTTCTACAAATTTACAACCTATATTGCATAGAAGAGCCCCCGATGGCTATCCAATGCTCCAATCCTTATATTCGGATGCCGTCTCGTCTTTTATATCCTCCCTTTTGCCAATGGTTCGGCAGAAAATTTTGACTCTGCTGCCGACAGTATCTAAACACCCCCAAGCTTTCAGCCATTTGATTCACGAATTGATGAATTTCGATAGTGAGCTCAGATTATCCTGGTCTTACCTGTCTAATTCGTCACAAGAGAATGTTTGGAAAGGATTAACCTGGGAATTATTATCGAAAGAGAATTGGTTCTCTGAATGGCTACAGGTAGAGAAGAATTTCGCCTTGGCAAGGTACCAAAATATCATTGATGCTGAAGATGGTGGTGAAATCGACTATGATGGAGTGGCACCGACAGCAACTAAGCCAACAAAGGCGGCTCTGCACGTTAATGACCTTCTGGAGAATGTCACGGAGCTTTACCGGCCGTTGTCGTCTTTTAGCCAGAAACTCCGATTTTTAATCGATATTCAAATCACCATATTCGACTTATTCCACGAAAGGCTGCACTCTGGGCTAGAAGCATATCTTGCTATGACATCCACCATAGGGACGCACAGTTACAGGGATCTTCAGCCGGCCAGCCAAATTTCGGACGGAGTTCCAGGTCTAAGAGTAGACTATTCTGAAA